CCATGCCAGAAGAGTTTAGATTCAAAATGGCCCAAACTACAGGCTGCCTATAATAGTAGGAGCCAGGTACTTTCCTTCTGGTGATACTTAGCAACCATGTCTCTTCTCGCTAGACATGCACATGATGGTGGCCAGGCCGGAACAGTGGGTGAAGCCAATGGCTATAGCAGGAGCCAATCAATACACCTTTCATCTCGAGGCTACTGACAACCCTGGGGCTTTGATCAAAGATATCCGAGAGAATGGGATGAAGGTAAGAAGTCTGTGATGGCAGTAGTGTTTATATTATTCCCTTCAGTTTGGAGTATTTGGTGGAAAACAGGAACTGATCGATAAAGACCTAATATAAACAGCCACTCTTTAGCTATGAATCCAGAGTTAAGTATGAATTGTCAGATAGGCTTTAGATATACCATTAATCTTTCCTGCAAGTTACTGCTATTTGGAACCATTTATATATGATAGCCACATTGACTTTAAAAGAAAGCAACAACTTACGGTCTGAGTAACTTATTCCATTTATTATTTTTTTACAAGAATTGATATTTCTCCTGGGTCTGATAGGCCACTGTAACGTAGGGAAATAATTGTTAATGTGATGTAGCACATTTATCTCTCTTACAGGTTGGCCTTGCCATCAAACCAGGAACTACAGTTGAATATTTGGCACCATGGGCAAATCAAATTGATATGGCCTTGGTCATGACAGTAGAACCTGGGTTCGGAGGTCAGAAATTCATGGAAGACATGATGCCAAAGGTAACAGAAGGATTTGATATTGTATGCTCATTCATTTAGCATGTATTGAAAGGGTCGTCTCTGGAGACGTGCCCTGTTAGGGAGGTGAGGGACAGGGGATGCCTAACTCCTTTTCATACAGTGTGAATAGCTATCATAGATTTAGGGTTTGGGTTCAGCATTGGTATTATATGCCTGTCAGGAAATTTCCTTTTGAAACCTTTATCTCGGTAGCCTCTAAATATCTTGGGGTTTTCATTGAGTATCCATAGTTTGCCTTTGTTTTGTTTCCATGAAATCTAGGCTCTACAAAACGGTGGCAAAGTGAATGCCTTTCGACAAGCAGGAAAAGGTCTACTTTTACAAAGCTTAATTCATTTCTGTACATTAAAAAGTATGTGTTCCCCAATATTGTTTTTTTCTGATAGCTTGTGTTTGAGAGATTTGGCATTTTAAGGGCTAGCTACTGACCTACTTGATTTTTTTTTTGTCTATCTAGGCTGTTCTTTTCCCACGTTCCTGTTTAGAAGTCACTTGTTTGTTCACATGTGTCTAGGTTCACTGGTTGAGGACCCAGTTTCCGTCTCTGGATATAGAGGTCGATGGCGGTGTAGGTCCTGACACTGTCCATAAATGTGCGGAGGTGAGATTGCTGCTTGACCGTGACTAAGTCCATTTCCTGTCCCTGTTTGGTGGCCCAAAGACATTTCTCCTGTTTCCTAAATTGACTTTCTTTCTCTGGAAAGTATTTTTTTATTGTTGTTGCTGTCGTCCACATGTAAAACTAGGAAAACAGAGCCATAAGTAAATTTCTAAAATGACATAAATTGTTAAATAGTAAATCATGGTTATTTCAGTAATGTTCGTTAATGGAGAAAGAGTATGTTGAATGCCAGCTCTTTGGAAGATCATTAAGCTCCAAGGCCTTGGGATGACAAATTTTTCCAAACTAGGAAAAGGGAAGATATCTTCTATTGCTTTTTTACCCCTTGCCAAAAGGAGTAAAAAAAAAAAAAAAAAAATGCAGAAATTTATCTGACCTAAAGTATCATACTGTTTTTTAGAAGTATTACCTATTTGTCACTTGTAAGAACTGAACAGTTTTGGATAAAAATCTAGGCCTGATGCCCATTTTACCCTGTGGCAGTGATGTGCATTTGTTTTTGCATAGCTAGCTTAGCTTAGTTGAGTTGCCAAGCTTCATAAGAGGATGTCAACCCTTCGAATACCACTTTGGGTGATTACTGCTTACATGGCCTGCTTGGTTTGGGCAGGGGGATTGTGCAGGGTTCTTTGAGACATTACTATGAAGTCTAGGCTGGCCTGGAACTTGTAATCCACCTCCTCAGCTTCCTGAGTGCCAGGATTGCAGGTGTACACCGTCAGGTCTGTGTACATGGCCTTTTATTCAGCAGTGCAGTGTATCTGCACTTCCGGTTTCTTCTATAGCAGCCATGCTTTTCTCCTTGATGCATACCTATCAAAACTTGAAAGCAATAAATGCTTATGAAGGAGGGCAGTGTCGCCCAAATAAGCATGGAGCGTATATTCATTTTTCCCTTGTAGATTGCTTTTTGTTGAACTATTGTGCTATTCCTGCTCTAATGAAGAGACATGTAAAGTGGTAACCCGATAATACTTTTATGATTTCTATAAAGAATGTTGTTGGAGATCTCATTATCATCATATGACAGAGTCTCCTTAGATAAATTGTTCTGCTTGTGGTTCTCCTCCTCTCCACTTTCTTGCAATAAATTACTTAACAGATTGGTATTCTCTCAAGTCAAATACTAGGAAGCTCAGAGCTAAACTTAGAGGTGTCTTTTTTAAAAAAAAATTTATTTCTTTGCTTCTACATTCTTCTAAAATACCATCTTAAAAATCTTTCTAGCATTGAAGAATGCTAAGGAGGCATAAATAATTCCATTCTTCCTGAAACAAAATTAGGTTATTTAAATTTAATGTTACCAGTATCTTATGGATAGTTTTACATTTTCACAGTAATTGTCCTTTTGATTAGAGCTGGGGATATAGCTAAGCGGCATAAGTACTTGCCTGGCAAGCCTGAGGTCATGAGTTCAATTCCCAGTACCAAAAAGAAAAACCTTCACTGAGTAGATTATCCACAAATTCATGTAATGAATTCAAAGATTAATAAATAATAGCTTGTTCCTTAGTATCTATAGGAGCATTGGTATATATTGGGGGAAAACCCTTAAAGGATTTAAGACCTTATCTAAATATTAGCAAAGATACTGCATAGTTTATTTAGAATTGATGTAACCAGAAATTGAATGATTTTTCTTTTTCTTAAACACATTTGAAAATGTTATATTTTCATTCTTGAATGTTTTAACTTCCCACCTCATTGCATTAGATTGCTTCAGTGTGCTTATCTCAAAGTAGCTTTTAAGGCAGTGATGGCAACTGTAGTCCAAGAATTGTTTCGGGCTCTCGTGCTTCTTTAAGCCATAACCTAAGTGTTCACTTCTTCCAGGCGGGAGCTAACATGATTGTGTCCGGCAGCGCCATTATGAGGAGTGAAGATCCCAGATCTGTGATCAACTTACTAAGAAATGTTTGCTCAGAAGCTGCTCAGAAACGTTCCCTTGATCGATGAAACCACAAGAAACACAGTGTTTGTGTTCATGAAACCTTTTCACTGGAAAACAACATAGACTACCAGATCATATAGCAGTTGAGGCAGTGCTGCTTTTCTGAGCAATTATTCCAGTGATTAAAGTCTGTGGTACAGAATGTTTGGAGAGGTTAGAAATTGGTGTGTATTAACTATATTTAGGGATGCAATTTAAAGATTAGAGTGAAATACCCTGTTTTTGTGGGAGAATTGATTTTTATAGTGTGAAAATATGACTGTTAAGGTTACAGAAATGTGTCTTAATGCCTAAAGACGGCATATTAGCTACTATGAAAAAAAATTTTTTCTGTATTTTTAAAAAGAATGTTCTGTTGTTTGCCAGCTGTTCTCTAAAAGCAGAGGGAATCCTTGTTTTTCCTAATTCATATTATTTCTGATTTGTTTATAAGCTTGATAATATGAATAGAGTAGAACTAAAACATAGAAGCTGGGGTGGGATGGCAAGCCATAGTCTTGCATGGAAGATTTTTCACTTTTGATCTTATATTCAGTGCATTAAAAATGATAAAAGCAATATATGAGACCCAGGGGTTCTAAAATTCAAGTATGAGTTTTATCAGTGTTTGCATTGCCAAAGCTGGTTATTCAGTGATTTCCTCCTGGCTTTCCCAATCTCACCCACCATTCTCGAGGGCGCTGAATGATGCTGCTGTGTTTGTTAGCTCTGTGTAGAAAGGAGAAGTAAAGCCTGCCTTTGGAATTTCCATTGTGTTGAATGAATTCTGACTCTGTTCCTGTCTGTTTGCCCTTGGCAAATCACCCATCCTTTTTGCACTTTTAACTCAGTTATATGTTGAATGTACTGTAACTGTAAAAACCATGCAGATTGTGTTGAGGACCAGACGAGGTCTGGAAAGTTTCCAGTACTGTTTGTAGAATTTAGAAGATGCTCGATGTACGTGGCTAACATTCTATAAGTTTATGTTTTGTCAGCTCTATTTTTATATAATCTCATTAAACCTATAAATTATTCCTGTAGGTGGCAGGGTAGGTATTTTTGTTCCATTTTAAAAAGGAAGAAAGTAAAGCTCAGCAATAGGATGACACCATAGGAAGGACCTAGTAGGGCAGGATCTAGGGTTTTTCTGGTCCTCCTCCCCTTTTTGTAAACAAATAGAGCCTCAAGGAGGTAGACTAAACAAAAGAAGCTTCTTTTATTTACCACTGTCTTATTTTCAGTCTGATTTTGCCCTCTAGCAGCATCAAGTGGCTGAGAATGCTCTGGAACTACAGATCTTGACCCCAAGAATATATATTTTATTGCAAAATAAACCACGTAGGCAAAGAGATGCCAGGCTACAGAGTTCATCCACGAGCTAAGTTACTTTGAGCTGTGTTCCTGCTTATGCAAAAACTACAGCTATGTATCAGGTACTGTATTTTTCTGAATACTCGTACTCTGTGATAAATATGGCAAGTAACAGGACCAGTATTTCTTGAGATGATTGAAAATATTTACATTAATACTTACGCATGGAATAGAACTTGGTTAGGTTTTTTCCTATACTGTGAGTAAAAATTTGTTGCTTAGTATTATTTTAATTTTGACTTAGGAGGAACATGTGCCATGAATAGGTAGCATTTAATTCTGTCACACAAGGCATATAGAAATAACTTTAATTAAAAAACTTACATAGAAGATTATATAATATCAGACATGACGAAGATTTGAATTTATTTACCAGGACAACTTGGGTTTGTCAGACTTGTTTTTTTTTTTTTTTTTTTTTTTAAAAACAAATGTACAGTAAAACAACAAGCAAAAGTTTGTCAGTATTGAATTGGAATTTGTTGTTTCTTTTGAAGGGAACAGTATAATTTCCAATCCTGAACAAAAACTTACTGTTAAGTTCCATAGACTAGGCCAGATGGCCAGGATTTTCAGTTATATGAAAACATACTGATTGTTTTCAACTTTCACATAGGAAAAACATAGCTTAATAGTTTCAAAAGGAATCCTCCTTAATGTGTGCTCCATAGTATCTAACACTGAAGTATTGTCCTTTGAACATTTTAATGCGTGGGGTGCAGATAAGAATAGAGTTTTATTTGAATAGTTATGGCAATGTAGGAGCAAATTAGCTAGAATTATAATTATTAAAAAAGTTATAATGAAGGGCTTTCCTGTTTATTCCACATTTTAAGTTGATTTTTCTTCATGAGATACATAAAATAATGTAGGCACAATAAATTGAGTTTTCAAAGATGTAATAGTTTAAAATTGCACCGATACTTAACTCTGATTTGCGTGTCTTAACTCTGTTAAGAGTAAACAGTACCCTGTGGTTAGTCCAGCAGATAGCGGCATTTAAATAGATGAGTATTGTGTTATTTGACAGAAGAATTTCCTTAAATAACTTCTGTTGTTTAAACATGTTAAACACAAAGCCAAAAGTACTCCCTCTCCACAGTCAAACTCCTAGGCATCTTTCCTCATTGGAAGCCTGTGCTCTGTATTACAGCTTACGTTTCATAGGGTGGGCCATATGTGGATTTTCAAGTGGAGTGGGTCATTGCAGGTGCAGTTTTAAAACTATGCATGTGTGCATATGTGTATATATTGTATATACATGTATATATTCCAGTATGTTGCTGAGGGAGTTTCAGTGAATTGTCAGAGGAATAGAAAAAAGAACTGCCATCTGATGCTTGGTGTGTGTCTGTGTGTCTGAGTATGGGGGTGTGGGTGTCAGGGTGTGGTGTCTTAAAAATTACCCAGTAAGGTGATTGGACATCAGATTGCAGCAGTTAATATATTGGTGCTTGTAATTTGTATGATAAACACAAATGATGAACATTTGTCTCTAGGTGGAAAGCTAGCTACTTCTGTGCTTCAGGAAGGAAAAAGAGGCTTCTCTTGCCTGTTTCATAGACAGCGTAAAAGATGAATACATGCAGTCCATTCTCTTTCTGGAATTGGGACGAAAGGGTGTGGAAGGTCCAGAACACAGCTTATTTTTCCTCCTTTCTTCTCTTCATTTAGATAATTTTCTTTACCTGTTCCCTGTCACCTGTTTTTTTTAACATTAGTAAGTGCTAGACCTAAGGCTTTATACTCTTCCGTTCCGTCAAACTGGTTTTTTAGATGGTGTCCATTCTCTGATGCACTGGTACCGAAGACGTCACCCTGGAAAGCTGTGCTTGGCCTCTCTGGCTGCTCCTTTCCTTCATCTTGGCAGGATAAGGCTGCTGTGTCTTCATCCTTCAGCGGAAAAGCCCGTCGTTCCCACCACAGAGACTGAAAGGAAAAGCTTTTTCAGTTAAGTTTGAGTTTGTTTTGCTTAAATTCATTCATAATAATAACCATTGTTGTGTTTGTGTAGCAGATAAACGTATACGTTTTCGTTTGGATCTTAACTCAAATGGGGCATTCTGAGAATTGACTGGTGAGTTATTTCTTCACTTTGCCACTGTCAAGAACAGGAAATGCAGCTGGGCATGGTGTCGCACACCTGTAATCCCAGCACTCAGGAGGCTGAGGCAGGAGGATCACAGTGTGTTCAGGGCAAGCTGGGGCTAGGAAGTGAGTTCAAGACCATCCTGAACTGCATAGTGAAACCCTGTTTCAGAAAACCAAAAGAAGAGGAAATGCTACCACAGGGCAGTGGTCTTCATTTTCAGCCTAAGAGTATTTAGAGAAGCCCCTTAGCTTTTAATTTTTCTTCCCTGAGTTTTCTGCAATATGCCTATTAATTTCCGTAGACTCCACTTTCCCTTCTAGATCTGCTGCTGCTTTTTTGTGGCATGTGTTTATGAAGAAGGGCACACAAGTGGGTGCAGTATTAAAAAGCACTTGCTTAAGGCAGGAACTGGCTCTACGAGGTGATAAGTAAAAACATACAAGAGGAGGAAGAGAAATGGCTGACATTTACTGTGTACCAGCGGCTGTTCTGCATTAATTACATTTGTTTGCTAATAAAGTTTCAGTAGCGTCCCCACTCCCTAGTAGGTAAATAAACAGGTGGACGTTGGTACTGACATGCTACACAATGACATGATTGCCGTCAGTGATGGAGCTGGAATGCTGCAATACAGATCTGATTGTTACTCAGATTTCAGATCTTGACTGGTACACAACGATGAAACTAAATTTATAGTAAGCAGCATCTACACACAAGTTTTTTATTTTTTTTTAATTTATTTTTTGTGTGTGTGTGGTTTTTCTCCGGTACCGGGAACCAAACTCACGACCTTGTGCTTGCCAGGCAGGCGCTTTGCCGCTGAGCTAAAGCCCCAGCCCCTACACACAAGTTTTTTAAAAAGTTAAAAGGTGCAGTTAACCATACACATACCTTGATTTCTTGGCTTTCATTTGCAAAGGGTGAGCCTTGTACACACAGGTCACGGTGTGCTGGCGGCAGTGCAGGGGGACTTTGAGCAGCGTAGTGCTGACTGCCACTGAAGTCACTTGGGGACTCCTTGAGGAGCACCTCCTGTCCTTCAGCGTTTTTACTGTAAGCTCTAGTGAGAAAATAGATGGCATTAGTTATTTCTTGAGACCTTAACATTTTGTGAACCCAAGGTATCACCAAATCAGCTTGGTGTTCTCCTCTAAACAGTTCTGCATAAAAGATTTTTAAAAATTATTTATCATCTTCCTGATGCTGTTCTTTTCATATTTCAGAGGCTTATACATAGTACTTTGTTATTTTGCCAAATTTTACTAGTGGTTTCTTTAAGTCATGTGGTTTGCTTTTTGTGTTTTGTAAGACAAGCGAGGGCAATTCCTTAGTCTCAGTCCTTGATCTCTCAGAATGTAATTATTGTAATGCCGTCTATGGAGGACTCAATTCATATTTTCCTCTGTATTTCCAGGAAGTTTTATTTTCAAATATGGAAAAAGAGGAGAATTCTAGAACCTCATCTCTGTTAGGAGAACTTGAACAAAGAATTACAGCAAATCTAGGTATCTGGAGACCTAAACAGAAAAAGGTGTTTTATGGTACTAAGTAAATGAGAGATGCCCCTTAACTTTACATTATCTTGCTTTTTGAGTTTTTTAATATAATATCATTAAATTAAAATGTAAGTAGTGTAAAACACCAGGGATTCTTTCAGATCTATAATTACTAAATATGTTTGTTTATTCTTCCTTCTCCAACACCTGTTTATATTTTTAGATTCTTTGGTTTTTAGCTAGATAGGTTTCCTGAGAAATTTTGCTTTAAAATATTATTTTTGAGGGGCTGGGGATTTAGCTCAGCGGCACAGCGCCTGCCTGGTAAGTGCAAGGTCGTGAGTTCGATTCCTGGTACCGGGAAAAAATAAATAAATAAAACAAAACAAAATATTATTTTTGAAACAGTTAATGTTAAAATAGATAGCTTAAATTGTACACCTATGTTAGGTCCACTGACCTACTTTATATAGAGAGAATTTTCATGAGAAATAGAGTAAAATGACAGAAACTCACTTTAATCTTTCCATAATTAGCCTAAATATGGAATCCTAGTAGCTGCAGTGCGTCACTGCTCAGACAAAAGCAGCTGATGTTACAGATGGCACTGAGGGTTTCCTTTCTGGTTGTGTCCCCTGAACTGCACAGAGCTTTGCTCATTTCACACGGACCCTGTGCTTTGGGTTGTCAGTTTAAAATACGCACCTGCTGTTTCTCCTGTGCCACTTGCTTTGTTCCCATAGTGACCACCTGGCTTGCTCTCTCTCTTCATATTTTTTGTGTCTTAGAGAGAAGGCTTCATCAGAAAGATCTTCTACCTGGAATTAGAAAAATATTTTGCTTTTATGGGAAATATTTTGAAATATGACACAGGTTTCAAAGTGTTCTCATCTAGAGAACAACAGCAAGCAAACTTAATTTTAAAAGCAATCTACGTTAGTCCAGAAAGTAAATGTTAGGAGATTAGCTTCAAATGGGAGTCTAAAGCTTTTTTTTTTTTTTTGGAGCTAGGTCACAGTGTGTAGTTCAGGCTGACTTTGAACTCACTATGTAGCCTAGGCTGGCCTTGAGTTTGCCGTGACCTTCATGCCTTAGCTTTTAACTGCTCACTCTTGGGAAGATTTACCTAGATTATAAATGGCTTGGTGGGGCTTTGCAGTAGCCACACCTTATAGGAAATATTCTCAAGTCTCTATTCATTCAACACAGCTTTTAATGAGTTTCCATTATAGAACACACATTGTTCTAAGAACTTGTTAATATGAAAAAACAAAAACATAAAGCTGTTGTCTGAGATAAATTAGAATTTATCTTATTAGTATCTAATTTAGATAACTGTGGATTATGATACATAGGAGTTTGTGTTTCCTGGCCAGGATCAACGAATTAGAAAGAGTGCTTAGAAGTAAGTAGGAAGGGCATTAAAAGAAAGGTAAATCTGGTAGTTGAAAAATCTGAATGCTGGGCAGAGCACTGTTATCTGACAGAAACCAGGATTTCTACATTATGTTATACAGCTTCTGCAGACCATCACTTTGCAGTTAGTTATACAGTATTTTTCTGTTCTTATCTCAGTGTAATTTTATCAGTACAGTCCCCAGTCCTTTACCTGCAATTCCAAAATCCAAAAATCTGAAAAAATTAGTTTTTTGTACAATTCACACAGCCTGATCTAAAATGGAGTGAGATCACTTCTAGTGTATATCCCATGTCCCACACATGCTTGACTGTGGCGCTGTTTTGAACTGTAGAAATATTGCATGTTAAAAGTACCACATTGTCTTTCTAAAGTCTAAAATCTTAAAAATTCTAAAGCATATTGCCAGGTGTAGTGGCACACACCTGTAATCCCAGCACTCAGGAAGCAGAGGCAAGAGGATCGTTGGGAGTTCAGGACCAGCCTGGGCTACAAAGTGAGCTCAATGCCAGCCTGAACTGCATAGCGAGACCCTGTCTCAAAAAGACAAAAAAAAAAGTGTATTGAGTCTAATATTTTTATGGCATCGTACATCTGAATAATTTGAGACTAAGTCTCCTTGTGCAGAGAAATATGACTTATACTGAGACAGATGTAGCTTTTATATAATTTCAGTGTCAACTCAGTAATATTTTCTGTTCATTTATATTTGTCTTATTTTTGTTCTCAGATGTGCACAGAGACATTTTAGTAGGATTAATATCCTTTGTCAAACTTGCTTTTTGTAAGTGTAAAGAACAAAATTAGTAGAAGTGAAAAGATTTGTGTTCCCCTTTAGTTCCTTAAAATATCAAATTAAGCATGCATTGTATAAAGTGCAGTTATCCTATTAAATGAAAGGTAGCTTACCTCTTCACCTAAGTTACATTCATCCAAAGGCTGAAGAACAGCCATCCTCCAGCTGTTGAAGATAATATTTCAAACACCTTTTATTAATCTTTCTAAATGTAGCAATTTTTTTTAAGTATAGGTAAATACATTAGTCATTCTGTGGAATTTCCATAATTCAGATGGTTATTTTAATACTTTATTTAAAGACAAAGGGTAGTTGTACTACGAGAAAAGGATGAAGTCTTTACTTTTTTACCTTGGAGTGTACACATGTCTGTTACATAGCTGTGTTTTATATGTAATAATTATATACTGATGCTGAATTAAGTCAGTGATACGCCAGTAAACTGGCTTGGCCAAAAAGGAGGGGGAGAAAAGACTTAATTTGTAGTGTCTGCCAATTGTTTGGGGTGAGAAAATGGTTATCTTTGAAGAAAAATTTGGCATTTCTTTATGTATCAACTCTCATACTTTCTAGGTTACTTCTCTTAATGCTTCACAGTAATTAATGAAGTAATGAGATAAATTATGAAATTAAAATAGAGATAGGAATTAACTGTGGTTATTGCAAGGCTCAGGTCATGATTTCCAGCCATTTCTGTGTGTACTTTCTGTACTTTCATTTTGAAATCATATTCATGATTTCAAATTTTTAAGAAACTAATCATTACTAAAAAAAATTCTGCTAACCTCATTGCCAATAGAAGATCTATGTGTTGCATTCAGAGACCTCTACAACCTGGTTCTTTTCTAGCCTTAACTCCTTTTAAAATCAACCTATATAAAACCTCAGTATTTTCCTAAGCCTTATATACTTGTCTGTCTGCCTTTTATGTTCTCCCTGTATAACCAACCTCTCTAACTTCATGGATATCCTCCCAGCCCTTTCCATTCATCTTTCTAGATAATGTTTAATACTGACTTGGAAGTATATCAGAATCTTACTTTCCTTATCACGTGTTTTATCTTAGAATGTGATATATCATGCAAACCTTGCACAACTGTTTCTAATGTGAGCAAGCATCGTGTGTTGCTAAAGTACCTTTTAATGCTGTATACATAATATAGTTGAAAGAAAGACACTTCTAAAGTAAATCAGTCTAGAAATTACTACTTCTTAAAAACTATTGGTAAAGCTGTGCTACTACAGGGCACTTTTTCTTCAGCATGAGTAATGGAAAGTTTTCTTTCACCTTTTCCCTCTGTGGCCTTTACAAGTAGGGTAGGAAGAAGGGGAGCATCCTCTTCTCGGTTAAAATTCTAACTTCACTCCAAATTTAAGCTTATTGAACGAGGAGAAGAAAGAAAAATAGAAAGATGTAAGTATACATACCTTGGAGTCAGTATTTCCTTATATTGGAGTTTTTCTAACTTAGCCGGGGCTACTAATGACATAGGAATCACAATGTTATCTATGTCATAAGAGCTTTCACTTCTTAACCTCCGTCGTGCAGTACTCTGCAAAACAGGATTATGGTACTGCTTTACATTAGTGTCTAGTCACCTGTGGTGATATTCTTTCATGAGTTATAAAAAGAAAATATGCAGTATACCTGGTGCATAGTTTCAGTAAATATATTGTTATTAGGTCTGATTATAAAATTTACCAATTAAGAATGCATGCCTATATTTTGTAAATTAAAACAGCCTCTCTGTAGGTGTGTAGTGTATATTTATGTACACAAAGGTGCATGCTTCTTACTGGGAAAGGCTTATGAAATACTATTGTAGTCATTATTAGCTTCATTTGTGTGTTCCTTGTCCTGTCCTTTATTCAGACCATTCATTTCTAAACCTTCTCACTTTTTGACCTCCCGAGTCCCTGGCCATATGACAAACAAAACAGATTAACAGCAACATATTCTGAACTCTCCTTAGCAAACTGTATTTAGCTTCTTATGTTAAAGAGTAGAGATAGCCACGATAAATGTTCTTAACAGAAAAAGTCCATAACCAAAGTTTAACAAGCTCTTAGCTTCTAAGTAAAAAAGTCTTATCTAACCAAATTTAGTTTCCTATTGAGATAGTTCTAAATGTGCTAGTAAATAAGGCTGATAAAGATTAGCACAGTATTCTGCAAGCCATTTTGGTTTTACTTGAAAATAAAGTAAATTTAGAGTTCAATCTAAACAAAACAAAGCAAAAACCTACTTGTGATGATGAATTCTGGGTTCTTGATATAACATTGAAATTAGAGACAGCAGTAAAATTGCAATGGGATCCTGGTTCTGTGTGTTGGAAAGCAAATTCCTCAAATCTATCCCTTTCTCCTGCCATGGAAAGAACCATTCAGAATGTCACACATTAAACATGGTCAAGATTATTAGAATTATTTTCCTAATTAGGTGAGAAATGATTATTTCATTTTCTTTAAATTCACATATCAGAAAATAAGCAAAAGGAAATTATAAAAGAAGAGCCGTATCCACACTCTTGCTACATACAAGTGTTTCTATTTTCTGGGACCTTGGGATTTTTTTTTTTTTATTTCTTGAGTAGTATCTGCTCTCTTATCATGTCTTTGGTGTCTGTGACTCTTACCAGTATTAGCAGTTGCACTGTCAGGACTAATCATAGTTTTATCTGTTCATTTTCTTCTGAACACTTGAGTTTTGAAAAGGTTTCTACAACTAAACTAATTTCTAAGTTTTTGATCTCTGGTATATTTATTTTTGATAGAATCATTTCGTGGATGAAATTTTTCTGTCTGGATATTAATGTTTACTTTTATCTACTTCTTTCACGTTCCTTCTGTTTGTTCTCATTCCCTATTCATGTATGTATTTACTTATTTACTGCCATTGCCTATTTTGCTTCAGTATGAATCCTAACTATTTTTTTCTGGTATAATGTAAAATCTAATAAGCAGTCCACATTTACATTCTTCAGTCGTTACAGAGTATCTGTTATGGGTTAATTTCTTGGAGTCAGGATCCTCCGAATGAAACTGGTTATTGGCTCCTAGGTTTCTTACAATCTAGAACATTTTTCATTACATGACTTGTTACGTGGACTAGACCAGATGTCCTGCACTTTGGGAATTGTCTAGTTATTTCTTTGTAGTATATCACTTTATTTGTTCTTCTGTCTCTTGTATATTACATGCATTACACTTGAAATTGGATCTAAAGTATCAAGTCTAGTGAAACACAGTATTATACATTAGGGGATATATTTCATAATGCATCTTATTAAAAGATAAAGTTTTCCAATGTTTTGGTATTCGTGTGTGTAAGTTCCTTAAAAGCTAGGTAGTTCTTGGTCATGCTTAAGAGTGAGACAATAAAGAGAATAGTGAAACATCTAGAAACATGTGAAAGTTGGTTTATTTTGTGCCATAGTCAATGTACTTGATCATCGGGTAGTGACTTGGTCTATTATTGGTGACATTTCTGTAGATACTAGAGATGGTATTAAACCCATTCTGTATGATCCTATTTCAGTACATTGTGGATGTAATTAGTTCCTAATTTATTGGTATGTTATTGTTATATTTGGAGAATACTTGGCTAATAAATACAGTGTTAGGTTCAATGGAACAATGAATAAGATCCAAAAATACTAGATAACTTGCTAATCAAAATTTTATCTTGCCAGTTTTATCATTAACAGTAACTCCATTGTTGCCCCTTTATGCCCACAAAGAACCCCCTTTGGTAACTCTTGGTCATTTTGAAGCTGTACGTTTAAGACTCCTAAGGAGAACTGAACAAGATAGTTGAGTACCTCACTTAAATCACAACCTATTTGTCAAACTCCTAAGGAATTTTAAATGGTAATAAATTTCTGTAAGACAATCCTGTACTGGCCCAGTCTGAGTCCAGAACAACCTTGGAGTCTAAATCCTGTCCAGACAACAACTGGTAGAAGATAACTAGTCAGCAAACATAGGGAAGAAATTCCTAATTGCCATAAAGTGGACAGATGCTTAATCTACAAATTGTGAGTTAGCTACATGAGTATGTTCTCAGAGTCATAGATGTTTTGTGTGATCAGCGACTGTTTTGGGTTTTAAGTACCCGTGATACAGGGGTTCTTTCAAGAGCAAAATTTTATTTATTTTCAATCTTTAACGCTAATGAGCATGTCCTCATTTTAACCTACCTACTGCTGTTTCACTCAAATGCCTTTTCTTTCTTCCCTGTAACAGCTGTACAGAAGATTCTGACCTTACTTGAGGCTTACACATAGCTGAATATCCATTTCTCCACTGATTCAAAGAGGTACTGTGTACTAAAACAAATGAAAAGGAAATGTGAGGTTTTATTTAGTTTCTTAACACAAACAGATAATGAACATATTACTGTTTTTAGTTAGTTAGTGCAGGGTTGTAAGATACCAGTGCAAAATTGCATGTAGTGAAATACTAAGATGAACAACTTTTAAGCTAAAAGTACATGTAATAGGATTCCTTAAAAACATTCTCAGGAAGTGACCAATTTGCTGTTTGCTCCATTTCATTTGTTTTTGAAGAGGACATAAAAGAAAAGGCTTCTCAAAGTATTCCAGATTAGTTCTTGGTTGAATATCCTCTGAAACCTGAAGTTGCCTACTCTTAAATCTGGTAATAATTTAGGAAAGGTCCACCTACCATGGTCATACATGGTCACAATAGACTAGGACTCCATGAGAGCAAGAACCAGGTTTTTTTTTTTTTTTTTTTTTGTGGTCTTTGGGACAGGGCCTCGCCATGCAGTTCAGGCTGGCCTTGAGGTCACGCCATGCAGTTCAGGCTGGTCTTGAGTTCACTTTGTAATCCAGGCTGGTCTCAGACTTGCAATGATTCTCCTGCCTCAGCCTTCCAAATGCTGCGATTACAGGCATGTGCTACCATGGGCAGCTAAGAACCAGATGTTACTTAGTGGATATTTGTTAAATTTTGTTGTTGTACCGAGATAATTTCAGAGTAAAATTATAATGTCATACTGTAAAAAAATTCGCTGCCCTACTTTGAGACAAGGTCACACTACGTAGTTCAGGCTGGACTTGAATTCAAGTAGTTGTCCTGCTTCAGTCTCCCAATTGCTGGGATTATAGGCATTTGCCACCATGCCTGGCTTCTTTCACTTTTTAAAACAATTTAACACAATTTTCAGACACTTATATCACTATACCTATTTCCTCATCTTTAAAACAGGAATAATAGCTATCTTAGGGTTATGAAGACTGAGTTAATTCCTGTATTAGAGGAATTAGTGTCTGGCATAGTAAGTGCTTAATAAATGTTAGTTTTATCATTTTGAATAGTGTCTATTTGGACCTCATATTCCAGTATTGGTGTAAAAACAGGACACCATAAATAGCAGTACAGCATTCTTTACAGTGAATATCAGTTTCAAAGATGAGTGCACAAACTCCAGAAATACTGAATAGCAGTATCATAAACTACAAGTGGATTAACTCTCTCAAGAAACAGTCGCCGGAACATTACAGGAACAAGTCTTTAAAACAACCAAAACTATAGCGGCAAGAGGCCTCTCTAGAGAAATCTTGTCAAATTATAATTATTCAGCTAAAAACACGCAGCATTAAGCTGAGTAACAGAATTGACACAATCTTGACTGGAAATCAAGATTGGGCCTGGAAGAAAAGTTTGACAACTTGAAGTAACAGTGATGGAATATACGAGGAAGAAAAGACCCCAAGTGGAGTTAACAGAATAAACGAATGGGTATCTGAAGGAAGGACAGCCAGATGTTTCCCAAAATTGTAGCAGCTCTGAACATTTAGAGAACTCATCTGAACAATGCTGAACAGAGCAAAGGAAAAAAGAAAATTCTGTCATAGAGCCCATCACAGATGGAGATACTGCGAAAGTTACCAGAGACCAGTTAAAATGATTGGAGAAAGGAGATTTCAGTTGACATAGTGAAACTCGGTGTCAGAAAACAGTGACTTAAATAGCTAGGGAAAATGGTAGGTAGAATTCCAAGATAGCCCGTGGGATTTCCCACCACCCAAAAAGATGGTAAATGGTGTTGGGGGCAGTTGGCTGGAGTAGTCCTACACATGTCTAATAGAGGGCTGGGCATGTAGCCAGTGGCAGAGCTAGTATTTTGCTGAATTTTAATCAAACCCCAGCAGATTCATCTTTCTATTATCTTGTCCAGATGGTAGATTTCATAATGGAACAGAAAAATAGCTGATGTTGAGGGGAAGGAAGAGAGAACAGCTTATGTAAAGGCCCAGGGAGTGGGACAAATCTGGGACCTGAACAGTAGCTATGTAGTGTGGAGTAAGGAAACAGGCTGAGAAAACCATGAGCAGGCAGGAGCCCTTTGGGGTCCTCATAAGAATATTCCCTCAGATGTCTTAAAGGGATAGGTATAATTAGATTTGCAGTAGTAAAAGATCACTGGCTGTAATGATTGCCAGGAAATAAAAAAAACTCGTAGTCTCTTTTGGCAGTACGTATCATTCTGTTAGGCTGAATGTTACAGTACTGAATACAGATTTGAAACATCTGACACAGTCTGCTGAGTAGAAAGGAGGGACTCTTGGTAGAGGCTCAGTCCTGTGGTTCTGTGTTCCTCCTCATCTACACATTCTTAAAATTTTTAAACACAGACTTACAGCAAACTTGGAATTTCCATGTCCCCTTTACTCAGATTCCCCCAGAAGTTAACATTTTATCACATTTGCTTTACCTCCTTCTGTACGTATTTCTGATGTGAGGCTCCTTTAGATAGATAAATGTGTATTGCTCAAAAACAATGACATTCTTTTACAAAGCCACACAGTTGTAAGAAAGTAACGCCATTAGCTAATCTGTAAACTTTGTTCAAGTTCTACCAGTTACCTATATATTTTCTTTATAGAAAACTCCAGTCACTTGTTGCATTTACTTTCCACCTCATAGTTGTGTACCTGCAAGAGTTGCACTGTTGTTTTTCATAGCCTTTAATAGTTTGGTCAGTATAGGCTCTTAAATTGGTTTGCTCTGGTACAGTATTTCCTTATGTTGAGACTTATCGTGTACTTACCCCTCTACAGTGTGACTTTTCCCTATCTGCTTGTTGTCTGAAGTCAGCAGTGTCACGGTAGATGCAAAATTTAACAGCTACTAGACTATGTCCAGACTCTGGCAAGGCACACAAGGAAGTTTGCCCTCCATGCAGTTTACTCTCCAGGAATACCAAGCTATCTGTAGACACCTGAACACATCATACCGTTTGAGGTCTTTGTGCTTGATGAATGTTTGTTTCCATTATTTAAAGGCTTGTTACACAACATGGACCAATATCATTTGAATCTCCTGGGACCTTGTCAGAAAGCAATCACAGGGCCCATTCCAGACTACAAATCAAGATCCGCAGTATCCCCCCTCAAATAACGTGCTTTTATATGCTAAAGTCTCAGAAGTACTCATACAGAATACCTCTCACGCTTATTCCTGTGTAAATCCCAAGATGGCACCTGGCATCACCAGCTTTTTGGAGTTTCTCTCCTCCTATTTCTCCTTTCACTTAGCCTTTGTTTTTTGCCTTGTCCTAAGCAGAGTTATGTACTCCCTCTTTATCGCATGATTTTTATTATACATCTGTGTTCATCGTACTGTTAGTTTATTCATGTCTACTTTTCCCTGTTGCATTATAATTTGTTTTTCTATGATTCATCTTTGATTCTTCAATACATAATAGTCTGCCTGGTACACATTGGTGTTCAAAACGTTTAGCTCTAGTTGTACTTATTTCTGTAGAAATCACTAATAGTAAAAGAAAAGTCAATGACCAGCTATTTAGGATAGATACAGAGGATAAAACCTAAGGAGATGTTACACAAAAGAATACCTTATTGATGTGCCTAACGATAGTGCAGCCTTCATCTCAAGCGTATTCCATTCTTTATTCTTTCTATTCCAGTGTGGCATGTAACATTACATTGATCCTATTACACTGATAGTATGAATTCTATGCCTGACACATTTACACTGCTTTATTTTTTTTTAAGTTAGATAAATGGAGCAACGTTAGTAGAAATAAAATCATCTAACTTCTAACACATGATATACTTTCACTTTTGCACAAACTTGCAATTACACATAAACCTGTACATTTCATACATCATATATATTTCAAACATTAAGTCATAATTTCAATTAGGATAAAAGTACAATTTCCTTTTTATACTATAACTTCATTATTTCTGCATATGGTTGCTTTACATTCTTCTGATTAGAGACAGAATCATGTAGGTATTCCATAGCTGTTGAACGTACAGTTATCATCAAGAGCATAATGAAATTATTGCTATTAAGGCAATTCTTAATATTCATATTCATGGATACGTGTTTGCCCTTTACACAAAGTTTAGTTTCAGTGTCCCAGTGAGTAGGATTACATTATGAAAAGTTACATGAACCTAATGTATACTTCCCAATGTTTTCAGTCTGTCTTCCACTAGGCATAGCTAGTTGTTTATTGTCCTTGGTGCTTTTTTTCCCCAACTTTATACTGTGAAAAAATTTTGAATGTACACACAAAAAAGAAATTAGAATAATTAACTCCTGTGTACCTATCATTCAGTTTTAGCAAGTATCAACTGATGACCAATCTTGTTTCATCTCTGCCCCAACCAGTTTTTTTCTGTAATATTTTAAAGCAAATTCCAGAATTACTTTTTCATTTGTGTATGTCAGAGTGAACCACTAATAAACTTATAGCATATGTGTATTTATATAATCACAGTGCCTTATTACATATGACAAAGCAATAATATCTACAAGCCGGTTCATGTTCAGGTTTCTTGGGTTGTCCAAAAAATGTGTGTATATGTATAGATATGCAGCTCTTTTTCAAATAAGAATCTCAACAAGGTCCACACATTGCCTTTGGTTGAAAAAAGAAACATTCTTTCATGGTTATAATTGTATCAAATACGGCAGTAAAACATTTGTATCCCTTTTTATCACAATATTCTTTGGTAAGTTTTCATCAACTGTTAGGATTCATAAGATTGCACATCTGCTATACAATCTATTTAACCATTTCCCTATTACAATTCTTTAAGTTGTTTCTCATTTTTCATTATCACAAGAATGCTAAGATGAATGTATTTGTGAAAAGTTTGTTTCATGTTTGGTACAATTAGACTAGATTCTTGAAAATGGAAAAATTGGGTCAGAATACAGTTACCAGTTCAGTCAACATTTATTTTGAGTAGGTACAAAAGTAAACAAGATGAGAGGGTTTTTTCCCCTACAGTGATCTTATAAAAAACATACACTTTAAGTAAAGATTTTGTAATGTATCTCACAGTACTTTCCAAAAGGCTTGTATCAATTCTTAATGTTATTTGAAATATTAGAGTGCTTGTTAAGACTATAGTAAGTTTTTTTTTACTAGAATTGATCCTAATACTAAACAGGCAAAAATAGTAAACTCTGTGACATAAGTTCTCAGTAAGTGTTAGGTGTTACCATTTTCATTATGTTATCATCAGTCACATCTAGCTTTTCTTCCAAATTCAAGCACCATTTTTAATATGTAACTCTTTAATCCATCTTAAATACATTTTTTAGCATCACCCATCTTAAATTTCTTTTAGTGTTCAAGTTATAACAGTGAGATCACATTTAATGAATCATCATTTAGTGCTGCTGATTACAGATTAAAGTTGGTACTTAGAGCACGGACTGTGAACCAGATTGCTTGAGTTGAAATCATAGCTCTACCATTACTCTGCAGTGATTTGGGAAGGATGGTAACAATAGTGATCTCACAGGTTAATAAAACGCCTAAGTTAAAGCTCTTCAACAGTGCTGGCATAGGAAGAATGCATCACTGTCTTCATGTACATTTATTGACCAAGCCGCCCTTTCTATAGCAATGAGAAAAAACCACATATGTCATACAGAGACCCTTTGAGTATGTCTCAAGGCTGTTTGTATTTAACCTTAATCTGGCTTCTACCAGTACCACATTATTTTAACAGTCATAACATTTTGATGTCTGATATGTCTTCCTTTTGATCTTTTATAATTTTTGTCAATCCAGCTTCTGTCTGCGTAAACTTCAGAATAACTGTTCAAAAAGAATACCTGTGTGATTCTGATACACTATTGATAAATTAACTTGTGGAATACTGGCAGGTTACAACTCTTTCAACAAAATAAGGTATTTCTTTCCATATAGAAACATCCTCTTATGTCCCTCTGCTGACATTTTCTTCATGAAATAAGTTTAATCAGAGACATTTTGTATTTTCATTGTCACATTGTCTGACATACTTTATTCCTTACAGCTTCTATCTAATTATTTTATTTATAGAAGCAGGGTTTTTTTTCCCTCTTTGCTGTTTTAGGGATTGAAACCAGGGCTTAACTATCACAGAGCTGCACCTCCATCTCTAGTAGCTACTAATTTTTTATAATGAAACTCCAGTTCTAATAGACATTCATTGGGTCTTGATTAGTTTTTTAGCTAGTCCTTTCACCCAGAAATAATTTGTCTTAGTTTGTATGAGTTTTTGATGTCACAAAAATTTTCACTTTGCAGATAATCAAAATACATTAATGTTTTTCTTTCTTACAATTACTTCCAAGCATAGACAATCATAGATATTTTAGAGCAATCATAAATATTTCATTATAATTTCTTTTTAAGTTTTACGATACAGTTTTAATCTTAAAATTATTGGAACTAACTAGCATTCATTCTGATGCATGATATGAAATGAATACAGTATTTACAAATTTTTCTTAGAAAAATCTACCAATACTATTTATTGAATGTTTCTCCATTTCTGATACACAATTTTTTCCTAGTCATATAATAAAGTACAAACTATGTAGTCTTATTTCATGAATCTGTTTTCCTAAATACAAGCAAAATAAAATCTATACTAGTGATTAGAGCTTTGGCATGTTTCCATATGTGGCTGAGGTAGATTAAGTTTTCTAGCAATTTCTTTTATATTATTTAGTCCTCCCAGTGGCCTATGGAATTATTTTAAGGTAACCAAATCTATTAGAACTTCAAGTTAAATTGCATTAAACATGTGAACTAATAAAGCATGATATCCTTATCCATTTTACCATATAGGAATGCTTGTTTATTTGTCTTTTCTATTTATCAGTTGTATTTCATAATTTTCATCCAGTAGTTGCCATGCATTTTTTAAAGATTGCTCTTGTGTATTTTCTTTCATTTACTCATTCTTCTTTTTTTTTTTTTTTTGTTTTAGTGTTGAGGTTCAAAGTCAGGGCCTCACAAATGATACACAGCTCCTATGTATTTTCTGTGTGTGAAAAGTGACTATTAAAAATTAAGAATTTACATTTATTCTGTTAAATTTTATTTACTTAGAATGCAAAATTAAGTATGAAGGATGTAAAAGGCAGCATGAAGTACAAAATTTGTAAATGTGACATACCAGTTGATGGTGATAAGATACAGTTGCCTACAATTCGATTTGCAGAAAGATCTCCTCTTATTTCATTGTTTTTAAATAATGTTTCAAGGTGAAAATGAAGAGGCACATCTACAGAAATAAAGTTAAAAATGTTTTCAGCAAACACCATTCTATACAGTCTAATATTTTGCTTCTTTTCTATGCATACCATATAAGCTTGCAAAATAAGTAAATGCTTAAAAAGTCAGAATACTCTTTCCAGGCATGCGGGTAGCAATCCTTTGGAAGTTACCGCCTAAGTTTACTTATTAAGGAAAATCTAACAGCTGAGCAGCTTTGTGAACTTCCTAAAATAGCAGGTAGAGGAACACTCATTGTAAATACAATTCATAAATGAATGGGAACAAATGTACCCAAGAGGTCTTTAACAAAACACAGCCAAATCTGGCTGACAACTCATTTTACTACATCACCACAAAATTCATTTGAAATAATGAAATTTGCAAAAGATAACAGTATTTGGAACATTGCTATAATTCAAATGCAACCTGTTACAAAAACACCAAACTGCACATTCGCTTAGATTACAGTACTAAATGAAACTGCTTTCACAGTGATTAAAACTTCCTGGCATACTAGTTTTCATCCTTTAAATACTTAGGGAAATTCAGTTACCACATTTATATATTTTATACTGTGACAACCAGAAAGTGCAAAGATTTGCTCACATTTATTAAGTTTTTCTTTTAAGAACATACAAGCAATCTTAAAAAGCATGACTAGCTGGGTGTGATAGCACACTCCTACTTGGGAGCCTGAGGCAGGAGGATCACAACTTAAAGGCCAGCCTGGACAAATTAGGAAGAGCTTGTCTCAGGATAACTAAACAAGGGTGGGAGATGTATCTAAGTGGTACAACATTTGAACATTTGCCTAGTATGCATGAGGCCCTGAGTTCAGTACCCAGTACTGGGGATAAAAAAGCACAAATTTTAGACACCTACTCTTTCCCTAGGGCAGAGGGTGGGGGCTCATAAAGCAGTCAATACATTGAAAGTTTTGCTAATGAAAAAAATTTGTCTTTAAGAAAACGTAAACTGGGATAGATGGAAGAGTGGATTTTAGAGATGTATCTGTTGCTCAGATAATATATTTTATTGGTAAAGTCCATGTGCATGTGTGGAAAAAGTACGCGGAAAATACACTGATCCATGGTCGTCATCATGGAGTTTGTCCTAAAGGCCAGTGACAAAATGAAAATGAGACTATAAATTAAAAATTCTCTTTTAAAGTACTAAAACATTTCAGATTCAGATACATTATAATTCCTAAGCATTGTTTCTTCAGAGATACACTATTAAAAGAAGACCACTTACATCACTGTGTGAGGTAAAAGATGATCTAACCAGAGACAGTCCTTACTCCGACTGAATATAGCTTTTTTATACCCACCGGGTGACCTGTGGGCTCTCAAATATTTCATAACACACTTGGCTTTTAATACACATTTCAGTTGGCCTAAACCAGAAAGTGTACCCTGATTTATTTGTATATATACACCCTTAGCACCTACTTAGTACATTGTGTGTAAGTTAGAGAATTTTATTAAATGAATTCAAAGAACGGATGGCCCTAACTAGTGGGTAAAGAAGCTAATTCTGTTTATTAAAAAATAATATTTCCTATAATGAGCCTATAAGATGAAGGATATTCATACATTTTCGCAGGGTTATGTCTTAGGAGGAAGAATATGTATCAGCTGACAGGGTCATATCACAAGAAACAAACATGGTTTCTCTTACAAGAGACACCTAAAACATACGCCAATAAAATTACTTTTTGTTGTTAGGGTTTTTTGAGACAGGGTCTCGCTAGGTAGTTCAAGCTGGCCTTGATCTCACTATGTAGGCAGGCTGAATTCCTGTGATCCTTTTGCTTCAGCCTTCCAAATGCCAGGATTGTAGGCATGCGGCATGAAGCCTGGTTCAAGAAATAGGAAGTTTTATAAGAAAAAAAAGTTTAGGAACATACCTCAAATCAACTCCTAACAACCATGAGCTCAGTGTTATGGTTTAGATCTAAAATGGCTCTAGGATTTCCTGTTTGGGAGGTGATGGGGACGTTACAGCTGACTTGCTGTTAGGAGGCAGGACTGGTTGGAAGCAGCAGGTTTATCTCCCCAGCTCCCCTCCACCATAAAGGGGACAGCTCTCCTCTGCCCAGCCCCTTACATGGAGCCACCGAATGTGCAAGACTGAAACTTCTAGAACATGAGCCAAAATAAACCTCTCCTCTACAGTGCAGGGTTGGGTGTTCTGTCCCAGCAGTGAGAAAGGTGACTAACACACTGATTAATCTTGGATGAATACTTAATGTCTTTACACTTAGTTTTCTCATATATAAGATGAAGAGGACAACAGTATCTTCCTAGGGGTTGTGAGAATTAAATAAGAAATGTAATATGCTTAGTAGACACAGGGCCAGTGTATCCTGACACTGAATGTTAGCTGCAGTAACATTATAGTGTTTATTATTTTCTGTCTACTATGAAAGTTTTCTCACAGATGAACATAATTCCCATTCAGAATTTAAATAATGGTGTAGCTAACATGCCACTCTAATACTGTTAAGAACTAAGTTAAGATTTGGGGAAGTGGGATAGGTAGAAAAAAGTTGTATTACAAAGAGACGGTTTCTTTTTGGTTTTTCTCCAGTACCGGGAACCGAACTCATGACCTTGCGCTTGCCAGGCAGGCGCTTTTGCCGCTGAGCTAAATCCCCAGCCCCAAGAGACGGTTTCTTAACTGTGGAAACTTAAAAGATTAACACTAGCTGAAAAGGAAACAAAAGCCCATTCAAGAAATTCCCTAATACAGAGAAGAACCTGAGATAATGAAGGACAGGCATGTTTCTTTCCCTTCTAAAATACTTTAGATCCAATATAGAAAAGACTGGGAAAGTAACCCAAAAAATTAAGAACTGGAACTTTAAAACCACCTTAGTTAGCTCTGTAGGGTGTAAATGCCTCATTTACTCAGGTAATGTGTACTCTTGAGGTTCAAAAGTTGACTAAACCTGTACATAGTTTTCCTGCCACTTGAATAAATGTAATGTAGTCTATAATTATAAAATGCAGAACATTATGTGGCAGGAAAACTTCCATGTAAAGCAGTCTGTTACTACTGAGAAACATCTCAACATAGCAGGTTGCCAAAATTTTAATAAAAATCAGTAGTCTAAGAGATTAAAATCTAGTTATTTCTCAAAGCAAGTCAAATGTAACTGAAAAATTAATGTAAAAAATTAGCATCACACGTTAAATTCCTCTGTAAAAACTGCTTAGGTCAATGACAAAATGATAACTTTCATTAGATTGTATTTATAAAATTCTGTTTCACTATAGAAAGTACATATTCAGAGTTACTTAGAAATTTTTATGAGGAAGCTTACCTGATGGCAAGGATAGAACAGAATGGAAAGAGGAATCTAACTCTGAAACATGTTCTCTTAGTATCTGAGACTTTGAATTGTGTTTACAGTTCATCCCAGTTGGAGCTGACCGCAGGCAAGGCATTTCTGTGGGGTTTAAAAATGATGTTTCTTTTGAATGCAAAATCTGCAAGGAAAAAGAATGAAGACTTCAGTTTTGCTTGAAAATTAAATGTGAGGTAGTGTAACAGTGATAATTCAGTACAGAAATGTCCTGTCTTCATAAGGAACTAACCTTGGGGGAAGAGCTTTAAAATGACATAGAATAACGGCATAAGATAAACTAATCAAAAACTGGCCATATACCACATTAAGCCTGAGTAATCTCATTGTGGTTTTTCAAAAGGAAGAGCAATGTCCACGAAAGTGGACTTTTTCTCATCTTAGGAAGTCACAGTAAAGGGAAGAGAAACTAATAATATGGCAGAGCCTTCATTTATTTAAATCATATTCAAGTTCTTTTACTAAAACTTGAGTTTTCTTCTATAAAAAGACATACATATTCTCTTAAATACTTTCCTAACTTTAATGTTTGTTTCAATTGTAAAAGATTTTAAAATACAGTTTTTTTTAACATATCCCATAACTGTGCAAAACTTTATTCTAGTAGTATACTTACAGCTTCTTTTAGTTTTCTGTTATTTAAACATTACCTGCAAATAATAACAATCCAATTTCATCCAACACTAATAGTTTTATTAATTTGGGGGATTCCAATCATCAGTCAGGTAATTAACAGAAATGATCAAAGGAGATACTTTTGTTTTGCTCCTTATAACAAACATTTTATTAACTCATCAAATTTATAGTGATGTGGATTATAGGATTTGTTTTTTGGTATGTTCAGGATAAATTTAAATTTACTGAAAAAAATTTTAAGAATATATCAATCATATGCTTTTCTGAACCCATTGAAATGATTGCATGGATTTTCTTTAATCTATTAATCTGGTGAATTTCACTAAAGGATTTTTAAATGTCAGATCAAGATTGGATTATTTTTGAAGAGTCGTAAGCATTTTTATTAACTTTTTCAAATAGCAATTTGTTGGTTGAGTTTCTAGAACAGATGTTTCATATGTATCCCTACCTTGCTTTCTTTAGGATTAATTAAATATTTTGTTATAGTTTTCTTTCTTGTTAAGTTGTATTTTATGCATCCTCATATTTTTTTCCTTTTAATTGTTTGCCTCCTTAGGGATTAAAATATGAATCCTTAAGCCATTGGCTTTTACATTATAACAAACTATTCCTTTTACCAGTTCCCTCAAAATATTGGAAAGTTAGAACACTTTTACTCTGCTTACTCTCCTTTTTCTGTATCCCACACAACATCACTATTACTATTCTTGCCATCAGTATTCATGTAGACAACCTATATATTTATCCCTTTATTTCCACCCAGTTTCAAACTGAAGTCCTTTCATGTGTCAGGCAAATGTGATAACCACCACACATGTAAACTCCACCTGTCCCTTTTCACTGCACTACCTTCAATTTCCTACTCTCCAGGAGCACAACAGCATCACAATAGAATCACAGCAGAAAACCAAAAAGTCAGTCTTTCCTTGTAACAACAGAATACTACTAAAAGACTTGTGTATCTTTTTCTTCCTGAAGGTATTCTGTTGTTAAAAGTCAGCACTGTAACATAGCACTGGCTATTATGAATAGCTATTAAAACGTTTTGTCCTTTGTAAAGACAAATGAAAAGAACAATGCGTTTTTAATTTCTAATTAAATTGTAGTAATAAAAATGCATTTTTAATTTCAAAGACAGTTATTTACATAAGCACTTTTTTACCACAGGTTTTCTATAGAGAAGACAAAACAATAGGCTAATAGCACACTCTGGGAATAACAGTGTGTGCTAAAAAACAAACCAAAAAGAACTAACCAAATGAAAACTTTCAGTCAAATAATGAATAAAATGGTTTATAACTTAGAAATGTTTTAAATGATTAGAAAATGTGAATTAATTTTGAGGCATTTTTCTAAAAACTGTACAGAGGTGAACAAAGCTAGTGTAAGATTTAACATTTTAGCATAGATTTTGAGAGGATAAATATTAGTTAAGCAAACTAATAACTGGATTGGCTGTTGTAAGGTTGTGAATAAACTAGAGATAAACTATTTCCATTTGCTAAGCAGCTCCAAAATTGTACATATAATTAGAAAAAGGTGCTGCATTCATTCATTCACGTCTAAGTAATGTAGAAAGTGAATGAGTGATGTTCACATGCAGTGTTTATAGGAATGACAAGTAACAGCATGTTTCCCAATCCTTCCTTCATCTCTGGTAAACATTATTACTCATAGCATCCCCTTCCCGGACCCCCGACATTCTAGACATCAAATCCAGCTTCAGAAAGCCAGCAGCCAGTTGCAACAGGCAAGAGAGATGGAAAATGTTTGACTTTTCTTGGAGGTGGCTGCAAAGAATTAGTACATCAAGTAGAAAATGGACCATAGAGAAAACACATATTAACTAAAGGCCATACAGATTTCGGGCATGCAGTTTAGGGTTTATTTGTGTCCTCTGTGATGGATACAAACTTTTTCACTCATCCATCACAATGGAGTTTACACAACTGTAAATCAGATGACATCAAGCTGAGATGTCAGTTCAGGTTTGCTTATGTTCTCCTGATGTGTCACTATTCGGACCTGACTGGGACAGTTTACAAAATGTACTTAATGGTATCATAATTTGCTGTGCCTTTTTTTTTCTGTTCCTCTTCTCTTCAAAACTTTGACCATACCAAATCAGTTAAGACTGGTTAACTATCTGAAATTTCTTTGTATCAATCCATTCGACTATGGAATCAGTCCTACTCTTTACAATCTTGCATCTAGTGTATCAAGTATTTTCCTAACTGATTTCCATTTCTCCAGTCTTTTTTCACTGTAATTGTCCTGCAGAAAGGAACCACATGAATCTTTCAGAAATATTTTTAGTATTTCATTCCCCTGTGTAAAGACCTATCCTATCACTGTTTCTACAATCACTAAATCATTATCATCATCATCATTCGCATTTGAAAAGGGCTTATATGACACATACTGTGGTATGTACCTTTCAGATGTAACACAATTCTATAAAGTAGCCTTATCGTCTTTATGGATGAGGAAAATAGTGAGTAATTTTCATGATACTATATATTACCATTGGGAAGTAGAATCTGGGCCAGTCAGGGTGAATCATGCCTGTGATCCCAGCTACTCAGGATGCTGAGGCAGGAGCATCAAAAGTTTGAAGCTAGCCTGTGGAACTTAGCGAGATCCTGTCTCAACAATAAAGAGTAGGGGTAGCTCAGTGGTAGAATACTTGCCTCCCATGCAAGAGGCCCTAAGTGTGATCCACAGTTTTAAGGGAAAAAAGTAGAACTGAGATTTCAATCCAGTGTTTTCTACAACCACTATACATATGTGAAACCACTATAATGTGCTGCTTCTCCATAGGAAATAGTTTTAGACTATAATTTGGTACCTTCTAAATTGATACAGAATTACATAAAGCATATTTTCTCACAGTTAAATATCTGGGATTATGTGCTGAAAATTAAATTTGCACATATTTGTGCCTTATTTTCCCAACAGAACTTAAATTTCTGTAAGACCAAGTCATTAGTTTTTTTTAGGATTCTTATATTATCGGCTCTAAAAAGTAGTCTGCATTCACATAAAATTTATAAACCTAATCATTTTACCTTTTTAAAAGGACATGGAAACCTCAAGATGGAATTTTCATTATACACACCTTAATTTACACAACTGGATTATTTTCTTAAACCACCAACCAGTATAATTTGATAATTATAAAATAATAATAATGAGACTGCCTATGGAATACTTAGACACTCCTTTTGCTGGTGTGTCATAGGAGATATATAAAATGTATGAACAGAAGTGAATAGAAATTAAATTAGTAATAGTTCTGCCTACTTTATAAGGAGTATAATATTCTTTTTTTTTTTTTTTTTTTTTTGGTTTTTCTCTGGTACCGGGAACCGAACTCACAAAATCCCCAGCCCCCAATATAATATTCTTAATTACAAGCTTTACTTCAGTTTGTAAATATGTTAGGTCTGTTGCAATTGTTTTCATAAATATACTTGAAGCAGTTTCTGGTTTATATATTACAATTTATGAAGCTGTGCCTTGTTGTATGTTATAGCTTGTGTCTAGATGCCCCCCCCCAAAACTTCATGTGGTCATAGGTGGGAGCTGCTTCAGAGGTGGCTGGATCTACAGTGTGTGATGCTGAGATTAGGGTGTATGATTAGTATATCTGTCCATTGATTGATTTAGCACCCAGCCTAAGTCCATTAGCCTAGCTAGAATATAAAAGGGGCAGAAAGAAGCTGCTGAGCTTCTTGGACTCAATGCTTGCTGCCCCTTCTGTCTGCACTGCTTTGCCATAGACTGTTTCTCCTCTGTGATGCCCCTCTGCCGTGCCACCCTGCCTTGGATCCAGCCAACTATGGACTGAAACCTTTACAGATGTCGGGCACTTTGTCTCCACAACGAGAAAGGTAACAAACATTGTACTTCAGAATTTCTGTTTGCCTCTCATTTTCCACTGACTGTACAGCCTCTGTTTGGCTCCACCTCCTCTCAAATTGGACATACATACAGCAAATTCTTGGAACTACACCTGAAAAACTGTACTCAAGGAGCTACACCTGAGGAGTCACACGTAAAACTACCTCAATTCAGGTACCTGAACATGATTTTTGGCTGATAACATCTGAGACTAACACCATAATGGAATGAAACTTCAGGGGTCTTGGGAAGAAGGGTTTAAATAGGATTATTTTTGTAACACAGGAGAAATGTAAATAATTAGGAACCAGACGCTGGACTGTGACAGTTCCAATGTGATAGCACCAACCAATGAACCACACCTCCCACTATTCTTGCCCTGCAGTAGTCCCTCTCATATTACATCGCACATCAAGTCACTTAACCAATACAATAGTAAAGTCAAGAGCTAGTTCTAGGACTAAGTCGTAAGAAGAAACAACAGCTTCTATATTTGCATTTTTGAGGGCCACAGCCACTATGTAAGAAGTCTTATTACTCTGCTAAAGAAACAATGTGAAAAGACAACATGGAATGTCCTAAACTATATGGAGAGGGAAAAAAGCCACCAACCATGCCATCCAGGCCTCCAGATGAGTTAGCCCCAGCCACTGTCTTACTACAGCTCTGTGAAAGACCTTATATAAGACTGGGAGAACAACTGCTCAGATATCTGCAGCATCGTGAAAGCTAATAGTAAATGATTTTACAGCTCTAAATTTTAGGTTGGTTTGTCATGCAGTAACCAATAACTAAAGCAGCCAGTATAGGCTACCCTGAATATGCAGCATAGGACACATGCCCAGTTCTATGGTTAAGAAAATATAAAGCATGATGAGTTTTTACCTATGTATATACTTGATAATCACTACCATAATCAAATGTGATGCATAACAACAATGTAGAAACCTTGATTGTGCGGTTTGCTGGTCAACTCCCACCATCTCCTACCCTGCACTGAAGCAAATGCAATACTATCACCATCAATATTTTTGCTTCTACCCGAAATGCAACAATTCCTTCCCTAAAGTCTGAATAGTTCCAGCATTTTTCATAAGTCCAAGTATCTTCTGAGACTCAAGACAAACTCTTAGCTATGAATCTGTGCAAAATTAAAAATGAATTATGTAATCCCAAAGTTCAGTGGCATAGGATATACATTCTCATGCCAAAAGGGAAAAACAAAAGAATAAAAAAATTGGACCTAAATTTAGGAGGTCAAATATTAAAGCTCTATATCTGGCAATGGGGAGACATAATGAGGTGTGAGTTCCAGTTATGGCTAAGTCAGCCCCACTCCTGTGGTCTTGTTGGTTGATATCCAAACAGCCTCTCTTCTGGGCTGGTTCCATTCATAGGCTGCAGCTTTCCTTAGATACTCCACATTTCTGGCATCTCTAACTTCTTGGGGTCTCCACTGCACTTTTGGCTTCATTCCCACCGCCTTAGTCACTGCCTTTTTAGAAGAAATCTGGGTGTAAGCCTCTCTGACCCCGGAACTCTTGCATTTTGAATGCTAGTAATGCCAACATCAGGTGGACAATACCAACATCTGCTGTCAGCAGAAGCAGTAGCCAAGCCACCTTGGACCATGACTGTGGTAGCCTCTTGAGTGTGTGGAGAGCAGAGCAAAGTGAAATAAATCTCAAGGAACCAATTCACTAGGAGATGTTTGTTTTTAAGCAGGGGACCCAATTGCTCTCTACTCAGATTAAATGTTTATGCTTTTGCAACCTGGATCATTCAACAGGGTCTTAATGATTTCTGAAATGGCCTCAAGGCATCTTCTTGTCCACATACAAAGTACTTTTCATTCTAATGGTGTGACTCTTTTTTGGCCTCACATTTATACATGGTTCCTTCTGGGCCACAGTTTTAAGTTTTTCAAGTTTTTCTACATTGCCCTTCATGATTCTCATGAATCTCTGTAAAAGCAGCCAGCACTACCCATGCCACAGCATGAACGTTGGGCTGCTTTGACATTTCCTCTGCCAGGTTAATTAGTCCACTGCCTTTATCTTCAGTCTTCTTTAAAGTCTCAGGACATATGCAAAGTATAGGTAATTCAACCCATAAATCGTAATCTTAGGTAACAGGAGTAAGGACATGTGCATATCTCTTCAGAGAAAACTATTTTCCATGCTATAGCAATCGTTTTTGTTTCTATTTAAACACTTTAAATATTTCACTCTTCTTTCGGCTTGTATAGTTCATAAGAAGTCAGCTATAGCTCTTAACTTCTTTTCTTGCTGTTTTTATCTCTGGCTTTCTTTTTTTCAAGATTTTTTCCTTGTCTTTGGTTTCTTCAATTTAAATATGTCATACCTATATATTTTTTTGTATTTATCCTGTCTTAGTTTCTAGATGTATGGTTTGATTCTTGTCACTGAATTTGGAAAATACTCATCCAATATTACTTCAAATATTTCTCCACTGTCTTTCACTTCTTCTGGTATTCCAATTACATATTTGGTACAGCACCTGGAATTACCTCGTAATTTTTGGATATTCTGTTTTGTTTTAAATTCACTTTTCTCTTTGCATTTCCACTTGTGAAGTTTATTGACTCCTGCAGAAGTGTCTTAATTTTTCTTGGCCTTATCCAGATTGCTGATGAGCCTATCAAAAACCTACTTGCTATAACTGACTTAATGTTTTTAAATTTGTAGCATTAACTTTTGATTGCTCTTATGAATTCCCATCCCTCTGTTTACATTATCTCTGCATTTTCTACCTTATCTATAAAGCTGCTAACATATTAATTATAGCTATTTAGTTTTTTTGTCAGATAATTCCAGTGTCTTTGTCATGTTTGAGAGTGCTCTCATAATTCTTTCTCAGGGTATATTTTTTCCTAGCATGCCTTGCAGTTTTTGTTAAAAGGTGAACATTATCACAGAATACAGCCTGAGGTAAATAAACCTTTACTATGGTGTTATGTTAGTCTGGCTGAGAGTTGGGCTTTGCTCAGCGTTTGCTTAGAGGTGCCAGTGACTTCATATTTCTCTACTGTCTTTGTGTTTGTTTCTCTGTTTACTTTTGACCTTCTTTAGTACTACTCCTCAGAAAGGCTACGCTGTGTAGCTGTAACCCACTGTTACCCTGTTGGGGCTGTCAGTGTGGTTGTGAGTAAGATACAGGGTAAGGGAAATACTCTGCAATCTTTATGATTAAATCTCAGCCTTTCAGTGTATCTGTGTCCCTGAGCTGTGGTCAGGGACACAGATACACTGTGAAGTTTTAATGAAGTTTTTTTTAATGAACTTAATGAAGTTTTTTTTTCCCCCACCCCTATTCCCTTAGGAATCAGGTAGTGGGGAAGTTTGCCCTTGAGAGTAGTCTTTGTTAAGAACTCCCTGGGCTTAGTTCACATTGGATACTCTTCCCTTTACATGCCAGCCCCACTAGAGGTCCTTCTTGGCTTTTCACTGAGAACCTAGAGGGGTAAAGTGTGGGTACCCACCCATTACTATAGCTCCAAGAGTTTCTCACCCTTAAGATAGTCAATACCCAGCTTCAAGCAATTTGTAAGTATTATGGTTTAATTTTTCCTAGCAGTTAGTGTATGGTTATGGTGGCTTCTGCTCCAGCTCCAGGTAAGCAGACCTTGGCTGGGACTTTTTGGATTTCCCTGTCTCTCCATATTTCAGATTAGCAGTCTGCCTTGTAACCTCTATTTTCCAATGGGAAAAATAAGATGGGTATACACCTTTGTTTGCTTAAAGTTTTAAAACTGCTCACTTTCCCAGGCCAGTCTTTTACATAATCATAGCAAACCACCTGAATTTTACAAGTAGATCTCTTCCAGTTGGACTGCTGTGGCATATTCATGTGTAAAATATTTTAGACAATTCTACTTATGAGTAGAAATCACAAAACTACATTTCAGAAATGTTACTTATCTACTGCTGGCAGCAACTGTGAAGAAAAATGACTGTGTAAAAATAATGTAATATATCAAAACTTTAAAAATCATTTCCCCATAAGTTGACTTAGGAAACATCTTTTAAATGATGAAATAATTATTTGAAGAATATTTTCAAGCTGGGGAATTGTACTAATAATATTTTAACTAGTAAATGGTAAAAATCAGTCTTTAAAAAAAAAACCCGTTCGTGATAATTCACATTCTTATTTATAACTGGATTTAACAAAACTGAAAGTCTGCTTCAAAAATGAAGAAAAGATGTTGATTTTTATACAAATATATTTAAAATAGTTAATGTAATCACAGTCAGAAACAAGTACAGTAATATTAAATAATACCATCCTGGAGAATTTCAAAGTATATTCATCTTTTATTTTACAAATAAAAATATGCTTTTCAAAGCATCTGTTTTTAATGAAGGATATTTTTCTTGTGTAAGCATGGACACCTAAAAGTGGACTGCTGCCGGGTGTGGTGGCGCACGCCTGTAATCCCAGCTCTCGGAAGGCTGAGGCAAGAGGACCATTGCGAGTTGGAGACCAGCCTGAGCTACAAAGTGAGCTCAAGGCCAGCCTGAACTGCATAGTGAGACCTTGTCTCAAAAAGACCAAAAAAATAAAAAATAATTAAAAAAAAGAAATAAAAGTGGACTGCTTAGGTTCCCAAGGAGGAAAAAGGGACTGCTCTCAGGATTAAGAAATACAAAACCTAAACACAAAACCATCATTTCTTCCAAAATAACTCAGTTGTGCAGATTTTCTTTATGTAAACAACTATTCATAAGAAATATACAGCATATCCCCATTTTCCTTATTACCCTTTCCAGTATGTTTTAATTTTTTTTCAAATTAGCATAAGCAAAATAATTTTTTTAAACAAGGGTGGGGACTGCGAGGCATAGCTCACTGGTACAGTACATGCAGACCTGTTCAATCCCCTGCCCCCCAAAATAAGGACAACAATGTAAGGATTTGAGTAAATTCAGAGTGAATTGCTATGTTTTAAAAATTACTAAATTCCACTTGCATATTGACAATACCTATTACATAATTTAAGACAGTATTTTTAAGTTTTCTGCATGAAGTTACTCTAAATAATTGTGCCCAATCCATATCCACTTAGATACAAAATATACCGATGGTAAAATATTTGTTCCTGTTTCCCAAAGGTCACCTTACCTGAGGAGCCCAGTAAAAAGTGGGGCTCAATCTGTAGAGTTTTCGTTTTTGGAAACTCTGAAGCGGTCTTGTTCGGGCTGCTGTACTCATGATAGTCAAAGATGGAGATTTCAGTCTTATCCTGTCTTTTCTCCTTTTCTTACTGTGCTTCTGATTAAGTAACCAGCTACTGGATGAAGAGAATTCCTCTAAATTTTCTGAAGAACTGAAATGATATGAAATAATTAGAGGAGGGAATAAGAAAAACTAAACGTAAATTGCCTTAGTCCATTATGATAGAAAAGCATTAACGCTCACAAATAATGTGGTGATATGGTGAAAGAATTTGTATCAATGTGGAAGTACATATTCAAGCTGTAAAAATAATTTCTACTTCTTTTTCTCCAGCAAAATAAATATCCCAAAAGTGAGACAGTGCCCACAACTTTTCTAGTCTAGCATTGTTAGTTATAAGTCAGTAATTCATATATATTAGTTTTAATACATAATTTTTTACCTGGGTGAAACTACATATGATTACAGGCTAATAGAACACTAGTCTCATCACTAACATTACTACTCTGAAGCACTGAACACCATTTCAGTGAAATCTTAAGTTGCTGTCCTATTTTAGAAATTTTAAAAATGCTTTTGACAACACAGAAGCTGTAACTGTAAAATAATGAAAATATCACACAAGCTACATGTGAAAATAAGTATCTGATAATTACCCTTCATATTAATTTTTAACATTTAATTTCAGTTATGCTAGTATATTACATGTAAAATAAGCTTCTTTAAAATAGAAAAAATTACAACAAAGGTAAAAACAAAACAACATGAAAACAAAAACGATACAGAATTTCAAAACAAGATGATAGGAAGTTAACAGTGGTTGCCGCTTATGTCTATTGGTTTATTGAAAGGAACAGTTAATGCTTAAATCTGTTTTGGTTTGGTTTTTTTTTTTAAACCAAAGTAAGCTTTTTTAGGTACTACAAGTTACCAATTTCAAATTTATTAATGTAGGTTAAAGCTACTGAGTTTGGAATTCGAACATTAAAAAGTAAATCTGCTATATGGGATTCCACTAATCAACATATAAGTTCTAAATTTGTTATTTGGTTCATGTAGGATTGGTATTTGATGGTAAACATAAGCTATGCTTTCTCTATAGCAGTATTCTTGGTTTAAATACAGTTATGGTTGTTATAAAATATTTTATTAACTTGTAGGAAAGCAAACAATTCAAAAATGCTTTACTCATTAAAAAAATAAACATGCCTGAAACATTTCCATTCTTTAAGTTGGTAAAACCATAAAGAGCAATATGGAAGTTAATCACTACTGTAGTACATAACGGAGTATATACTGTTGGTCAGTACAGGGAAAGTTGATGACAACTTCTCACTTTTTTTCTATCTTTTCTTTATTACTACAAGTTTACAGTACATTTACACTCCTTGTGTGGACTTGGGACATGTACATTACACCTCTTCCTTTACTCATCCCTGTCTCTCCCTTCCCTCCCCCTCTCTTCATCTCTTGATCCCCTTCGTATTTCAGAAATATCTATCTCCCTACTTCCTGTTACCTTTTATTTTGCTTTTTATTTGGGGTCATTATAATATGAGGTCTTCAACTCTTTTGTAAAGATACTACTTAGAAGGGGAATACCTGAGTCAAATGGAGTATCTAGTTTCAGTTTTTGGAGAAATCTCCACACTGACTTCCATAGGAGCTGTACTAGTTTACAGTCCCACCAACAATGTAGAAGGGTTTCTTCTCCTGAGCATTTGTTTTTCCAGCATTTGTTAAAACTTGACTTCTTGATGATGGCCATTCATTCTGGGATAGGATGTTATCTTGGTGTTTTCTTAATTTGCATTTTTCTGATGGCTAGTGATGCTGGACATTTTTTCACTTACTGGCCATTTATACTTCTGTGAAGTATCTATTCATTGTGCTTGCCCATGTTTTGATTAAGTCTTTTACTTTGGGAGTTCTAATTTTTTTTAGTTCTTTATATATTCCAGATATAAGCTCTCTGTCTGAGGAATGGGTGGCAAAAATGTTTTTCCATTCTTTAAGTTGTCTTTTCACTCTGGTTTTTGTTTGTTTGTTTGTCCTCTTTTGGAATTATTGCTTTGCTGTGCAGAAGTTTGTTAATATAATATTTTCCTATGTGTTGATTCCTAGAACTGTGCAGTTGGGGTTCTGTTCAGAAAGTTCTTGCCCATACCTATGACTTCTAGAGTTTTATCTAAGTTTTCTTCCAGCAAGTTGTTTCCTTCTAACATTTACTTCTTTGATCCATTTTAATTTAAATTTAGTACATGATGAGAAATACAGGTCTAGTTTCAATGCTCTGCATGTGGACAGCCAGTTTTCCTAACACCATTAATTAAAGAGGCAGTCTTTCCTCCAGTATATATTTTTGGTCCTCTTTTCAAAGATCAAATAGTTGGAATGTGATGGGGTTTTTCTGCGTCCTCTGCTCTGTTCCACTGATCGTCATGTCTGTTTCTGTGCCACAACCCTCTGTTTTTATTTCAGTAGCTATGTAATGTACCTTCAGGTCCAGAATTGTGATGCCTTCTGCTTTCCTGTTCTGGTTCCATATGAATTTTAGCATTGTTTTCTCTAGTTCTGTGAAGGATGCTGTTGGAATTTTTATTGGGATTGTGTTGAATCAATTTTGAAGGTATGGCCATTTTGACAGTATTGGTTTTGCCTATGCAGGAAGGCAGCTACGCTAACCACTATACAACCAATGCCTCTTGCCTATCCAGGAACAGGGGATCTCTTTCCATTTTCTGATGTCCTCCATTTCCTTTTCAGAGTACTGTATTTTTCATTGTAGAGGTCTTTCACTTCCTTTGTTAGGTTAATCCCTAAGAATTTAATTTTTCTTGGTGCTATTGTGAATGGTGTATTTTTCCTTCTCAGTGAGTTCATTATAGGGAACACTATTGACTTCTGTGTATTGATTGCTACAGAATTTGGTTACTAATTCTAAGAAACTTTTGGTAGATATTTTAGGGTCTTCTATGTAGAGAATCATGTCTGCAAATAATTTTACTTCTTCATTTCCTATCATATCCCTCTTCTCTCTTTTTTCTTACCTAATTGTTCCTGGTAATATTTCAAGTACTGTGTTGAACAGGAGTGGTGATAGTGGACATCTTTTTTTTTTTCCAACTGGGAGTCAAACTCAGGACCTCTCACTTGCCGGGCAGGTGCTGTGCTGCTGAGCTATATCCCCGATCCCTTGCTCCTGGCTTTAGAGGGGATGTATTCACTTTTTCCCCATTTAATGTTGGCAATAGGTTTGACATAAACAGTTTTTATCAGTTTAAGGTAACTGTTTTCAGTGTTTTATCATAAGAGGATGCTGGATTTTGTCAAAACCTTTTTCTGCATCTATAGATATGATCATATTTTTCTGCTGCTCTGATCATGTGATATATTATTATTGATTTGTATGTGTTGAACCATGCTTGCCTCCCTGGGATGAATCCTACTTGGTCATATGTATGATCTCTTTGATGATTTGTTGCAATCTGTTTGCTACTATCTTACTGAAGATTTTTGCATCTATATTCATTAAAGAGATTGGTCTATAGTTCTGTTTTGGTTGGATTTTTATCAAGTGTTGGAATCAGGGTAATGGTAGCTTGTAGGAATGACTTTGGGAGTACTGCTTTCCTTTCAGTTTCATTAAAAAGCTTGAGGGGGGGAAAAAAAAAGCTTGAGGAATATTGGTGTTGGAAGTGCCTTGAAGTTTCTATAGAATTCAGCAGTTAACCTGTCTGGGCCTGAGTTTTTCTTTGTTGTTATTTATTACTGCTTTAATATCATTGCCTGTTACTTGATTATGCAGAGTTTTTAAATCTTCTTGGTTCAATTTTGATAATTTACATGCATCCATTTCTTCTGAATGCTCCAATTTATTGGCATACAGGTTTGAGAAGTAGTTGTTAATAGTGCTTTTTATTTCAGCAGTGTCCATTGTGACTTCACCTGTTTCATGTCTAACTGCATTGATTTGGGTTTTTTCTCTCCCTTTTTTGGTTAGATTGGCTAAGGGTTGGTCTATTTTATTATTTCAAAAAACCAACTCGATTAATTCTTTGCATTGTTAACCTCAAATTCATTGATTTCTGTTCTGATTTTTGTAATTTCCTTCCTGGTATTAGCTTTTGGTTTGAATTGTTCTTTTTCTAAGAACTTGAGGTGCATCATTAGGTTATTTACTTGGGCTTTCTCTCTTTTTGTGATGTGGGCATTCATAGCTATAAACTTCTCTACTAGAACTGCTTTTATTCTGTCCCATAAGTTCTGGTAGCTTTTATAGGGATTATCATTTGTAGTTGTAGAAACTGTCTTATTTCTTCCTTGATTTCTTCTGTAACCCATTGTTTAGTTAAAAGTGCTTTGTATAGTTTCTATGCATTTGACTAACTTCTGTGTTTATTTAGTCACTGATTTGTAAGTCCTTGTACTATGGTCTTATAATATGCATGGTATAATTCCAGTTCTTTTACTTTCATTTAAGATTGCCTTATTGGCTAGTGTGTGGTCTATTTTGGAGAAAGTTCCATGTGATTCTGAGAAGAATGTGCATTCTTGTTGGCTGGAACACTCTGTGGATGTTATTAAGTCCATTTTTTAAAGTTTCTGTTCAGTTCTGCTGATTTTTTTGTCTAATTGATGTGTCAGTTTGTGATAGTGGGGAATTGAGGTCCCCCACTAAAACTGTGTTTATATTTATTTGATATTTTATGTCCAATAGTATGTGTTTTGTGAGGTTAGGTGCACCACTGTTCAGTGCATATATGTTAATAATCTGTATCTCTTCCTGTTGGATTGTTTCTTTAACCAATATATAGTGACATTCTTTGCCACTTGATCAGTTCTGGCTTGAAGTCCTCTGTCTGAATAGGAGATAGCTAACCTGTTCTTTGCTCAAGTTCCTGGTACATGGAATGTTATTTTCAATCCTTTGATTTTTAGTCTGAGTATTTCTTTCTAGGTTAAATGTGTTTCCTGTATACAGAATACTGTTGGGTTTTGTTTCTTGATCAGATCTGCCAGCCTGTGTCCTTTGGTTGGGGAAATGAGACCACTCACATTGACAGTATTACAGATAGGCAGTTACTCCTGTCATTACTTTTTTTCCTCTTGCTGATTCCTCTTAACAGACATGAATTTCTTCAGGTGCTT